TCTGCATTCAGACTTCTCCGTATTCCCAAGGGCCCTGGAGTCCTTGCTTCGCCATGGCCATTGTCGCGTTGTCCAATGGACACAGTTCAGGCTCAATGGACCACCTCAATGGACACCATGGACCTCATGTAGTCCTCCGACCGAGCCATCGATCAGGCTGAGCCATCCCTACAACTCCAGGCTGACCCAGTCAGACCTTTTCCTTTACCTTCTTGAAGAGTGTTTTTGGATGACCAACTTCAGTAACATGAGGTCTTTGACTTGTAGGGCATTGTCGATTGCCCAGTCTTTCTTCGATTTCGAAGGGTGGATTCCTCGCCATGGCGGCTCCTGTCGCCATGGCACGTTGCCGTGCGGCCATTCACGTCGTACCAAGCCGAAGTGATTACTTGAATTTCAGTGGCATCCGCCGCTTCCACCCTGCCCCGCCATACTACCCAGCTGTTGCGCTGCTGCGTGACCTTCATCTTCTTTGCTCCGCAGGATTTCTACAGCGACGAGTGGATTTCAGTGATCTTGCCCTCCGACGTGGATGTGCCATGGCGCGGTTAAGCACCACGGGTGAGGGCCAGGGCGGTCGACCGGTTTTTTCCGGCACTGTTACAAGACGATGGTTTAGTATACGCTGAAGTCACAAGTGTTTGTGTTGCTGGTGTAAGCTGACCTCCAAAATTTCAGACCCAGACATCCTGTGGATGATCGAGCTAATGAAGCCATGACCTGGGCCATTCCAGGGATCGTGCGATTTGCATGTGCTGTTTCTGTTCCTCATGCCACTCCATGTACGTATGCTAATACTATCTAATACTATATATGCCTACATTGGGGTGGTTTGAGGGGCCAATGGGGCGGCATATGTAGGCATATATGGCATACATGGAGTGTTTGGGGTTTCTCATGCCACTATCATCACGGATATATATATATATATATATATTGGTTCCCAGGTGAATGGTACTTCCACAAGAAGTCCTGCACCATGCTTTGTGCGGAGATCCCATTCATTCTAAAGACATATACCCTACAGATCCACATACCCTTTGAGAGGGTGATAGGAACCACTTTTATATAGGCTTGGAGGTTCCAGTGTAACTTCTGAAACTGTATGTATGTAATGCGTGTAATGTATACCCTACGCCGCCTTAAACCCCAGGCGCTGGACATATGTGTACATATATATACACATGTACGAGTATACCTGTGCAACAACCACATCCATCCTTTGTTTCGCGTTTTTCGCGTTGCTGCTTGAGATCCCGGCGCACCGAGGCCTCGTCGCCCTCGCCCAACGAGATCGCCGAGCACTTCCAGCAGGTCCAGTCGACGGCACCGAGTTCAGTCCAAATGACATGGAAAAAAGACACCTTCCAATGAGGTCTACTCTTTTTGGGAGGGTTGAACCAGGGCCCTCTCCTCCATTTGGGTGACTGTCAAAAGCCCTTCTCCCACCTCGCCATCGCAGAAATCTGCATCTTTCACCCACCCCCTTGACCGGACTCGGAACAGCTTGTGCTACGTGCGGCTTTCCGCTCACGCCAAACCCTTCGGAGCAGGTGGACCAGATTTTACGCAGCAAGAAGATTGGCCGTGAAGTGGATTTGAGTCAACTAGCCTCTCGGATTTTGAGTTTCAGACGCAGAGACAAGAACCTATAGCCTATAGCGGCCTAGCGTTGCCGGAGGTTTGACCGGGGGGAGACAGCAGCGCCTTTTTTCTGACCATGGGACTGGGAGAGTGGGTTTGTAGGGTTTGTTTGAACTACCGTGTGAGGATCTAATGGGATGTACTTATAGGCTAATCATATCAGGTTTTAACTATGGTTCTTAGGGCGTTGTTCATAACATAATTGTTTTGGAACGTCGATACTTTATGCGACCTTCTTGCATTTATCCGTAAGTGGCTTGACTTAACGACGCACAATCCTCACCAACCACTAGCTAGCGTCCTTTCACCATGGTTGCAAGATGCTAGTCCTTACAATACTAAGTACCAAGACTCAAGACACCATGGTAGTTCCAGAATTTGGTTCCCACCACCAATTAATGCACCAACAGAAAAATGTTTGACGCTTCATCTCGGCGCCTCACGGCAACACGATCACGAAATGACGTGTTATTTGTTGCATGGATCATGATGGATCTGTCATCAGGCTGAGTCTGAGCATAACTTCAAGTTCATTCTACCCAACAGGTTCAAAGTTCTGAGGAACTTCAATGGTCAATACTTCCACCCCAAAAAAGGTTCAAAGTTCAAGTTAAAGATAGTTAAAGTTCTCATCTATTTGGTCACCACTTTGGCTCCCTCTTCATTTCTCCCAGCTTTCATCGCCGCTTTAGGAGACGGCGGCCGCGCGGCTGGGCAGCGTGTTGTGCGCAGACCTGGCCCGAGCCTTGGAGGCGGACACCGTGGAGGCCATCGAGGCGCGGCGGCAGATGGCGGGGAACTGAAACGAACTGAAGGACACATGAAGAAGCTACTAGGAACAAGAAGCTATTAGGTGGAGGCCATCACAAGTAGGTTGGAGGCCACCGCTGCTGGGAGCAAGAAGCTGCTAGGGCCTAGGATATGAATATGAAGAGCAGGCTAGTGAAGACTCCCAGATGTGAAGACTCCCATAGATGGATATGGGAGCCCCGTGGTTGGGGCTTATCGGATGTGAAGAGCGGGATATTTAAGTTGCATTTGTTCAGCTACATCTCGTACAATTGGTGGAAGATTGGAAGAGACTGAGGCGTGTGGGAGTTGGGTGGGGGACTGGAGAAACGGTTCCAGCTCGCTCTGTCGAGCCTCGTTCGTGTTTCATATGTTTGTTCTGGAGCGTACTGGATGATATGGGTACGGTTGAAGAAGGAAGAACACAGCTGAAACACACGAGCAGTTTTCCTATATATATATATATCAAATCTATATATATATATATATATGTGACATCAATTTATTTACAACACTAGGGGTATCACCGGTATCACACACCAGTGATCCTCGCTAAAAGCTCATGCTGGAAAAATATTTACTAATATATAAGCGTCATCATCCACAGGTACTGGTCATGGGATATACCCTATAACTATAGTTCAGTTGTTTTGACCATTTTACGTCATTTGAGATGGGCCGCGGGTAGGGACAGGCCGGCAATCCCACAACAGGTCGTTCCGGCCTGTTGACATGGAAACAAAGAACATCTGAAGTGCCTTCCCCAGACACTCCATGTATGCCGATCAGTTGGGGTGTTGCCAGGAGGGTCTTTCTGGGGCGGCAGTCCTATGGCAGTCCCATTGGTCGTGTCTGGGTTCCCGAGACTCTGGAACTGCCCAAAGAACCGGGTGAAAGTGACATGAATTCATAAGACGGTGGACTTCAACGACGCGGCGGTCCCAAAAGATGAGTCCAGTGACACGGGAGGTCCAGGACGACACGCCTTTGAAAGCCCACTCTGAAATGATACTTGAGCATTTGTCATAGTTTCTTGAAAAAGCAGGTACACAGGTACACAGATACACCTGGGAAGAGACCCACAAAGAACCTGATGGCATGGACCTTTGGAAGGCTATCGCCTCTACAACCCCGCGGCTTTCAGGTTCCATGTGGTCTCTTCCCGGGCTGTAGCGGGAGTGTGAGCACCAGGTTCTCAACCTTCAGAGCTCTGAGAGCTGGAACTGGCCGAGGTGGCGAGGAACAACTCCGCCAATCACATCCACCAATTTCAGGAATATTTCAGGAGGAAAACATCGAAAGATGTGGCTCTTCAGGGTTGAAGTGCTGTTCTTTTCCAAATCTTAGCGCTCAAGCAAAACAGCTGCACAGCTTTCAGAAGCCCAGCTGCTCCCTCACACATCATCACATCATGCATGGAGAACCCCCCCCAGCAGTCACAGTCAACGGGGTGCCGAACGAACGGAGGAAGTCGGGGTGCCCAGCTATCTCCACTCGCTGGATGGGACTAAACACCCCGACATGTGACTCCTGGCCCTCCTTTCTCCGGGTCTTTGCGGTGTTTTTCCGTGCTCGACAGGGCGCCCTGAAGCGGAACCACCGCGCCGACCTGCCGAAGCTCCACGCGGCCCTCCGCCGGCTCTGCGAGCTGCAGCTGCCCGGCATCTTACAGTGGTACCACCGGCATCTACAGGGGTTTCAGAGGTGAGTTCGATGGCACTGGCATGCACTACCCCAAACAAATGTGTTGTTATTTGTTTTCTTTTTTTTGGGGGGGGGTCCATATCCACCCAACTTGGGCAGTGTGCCATCGAACCTCTGAAACCACTGTAGATGAAAGACATAAGAACATGATTTGTTTTTTTCTTGATCCCTCATCCATGTACCACCTTGACAAACATTTGGGTTCTCCAGTGGGTTCTCCATTGCTGGGACATGGTTGTAGGTGATCAGACAAGAAGGTGTTTACACCCTTTTCCTTTCAGCCACAGGTGTTTGACCGAGACTCCTGGTGATCCTGGTGTATGGAGCCTGGTATACTACGACTTGACTTCCTATTTATGGCCTTCCGTTCGACCATTTCAAAAAGGGTTGACTGGTGTAAAGTCCTTCCTAAAACCATGGGGTTCGGCAAAGCATGGGGGTTCGGCGAAGGCCATTAAACGATTAAATGCCATCGTCGGGTTTCGGAAGCCGATCAGGTCCAGGTCCCCCCTGTCAAGCCGGTCCAGGTGTGTGGATCCCGGGGTTTGATCACAGTCTGACGAAATCACATTATACATGACTTACAGTCGGAACTGGGCAAATAGACTTTTTGTTGACTGTCTAACATTTTTTGACTTTGACTTTTGGGACCGACTTGTTCGACTTTATTTTAATAACTTTTGTTTTGAACACAGGCCCTCTCCAACGAACGATATATAGTAGATACTAGTCACAATCCCCCCGAATCTTGCCTTGGGTCCTTGGAGTTTCGTGATACCAAGCTCATACTCCCCTCTTTGGGGGCGCGAGCTGCGCTCGCAAGGCTGCTCCGCGCCTTGAGCGGCGACGAGTCGGAGCTCACCATGGCCCTGCGGGAGGCGCCTGAAACGTAGGTCGAATCGAGTCGCCGTGCTCGAGTCGGTGTTGTTGTCATGCCTTGGTTTGGGACCCCTTTTCAATCAACCACCCGGGTTAGTAACCACCCCTTAAATGTGTTTGTTTTTTTTACATATATATTTATAAATATATGCAATGACACGGAGTGTAAGTGACCTTCATCGCGTTGATTTCACTTGACTTGAGGAATGGTTGGGGTTCGACTCTGCAGGATGTGTGGGTACGATTTGGTTGATTTTGAGTCGCGTGGTGATGCTTTCCTCCAGCCATGAAGGTGCATCATAGTCTTTCTGTTGGTCAAGTTCCATCCATGCTGGTGTTGTGGATACGGGATCCAAGAACGAAAGCCATGTGATCATGATATAATGTAGACTCTTGATTAATACACCCCCCGTATGAAGACGATTTTCAATTCAAATGGCTGGGGTTATTAATCAAGAGTCTACATTACTGTACTCAGAGGTACGTCAACGGAGCAGGTCTTGGAACTCATATTCAGGTCTTGGAGCCAATGGTTTCAGAGGTTCGATAACACAAATGTCCAAGTTGGGTTGTTTATATAGGACCCCTCACATAAAAGACATCCTGGGGGGCCAGTGCCATTTGTACCCTGAAACCACTGTAAATTGAAAGCCGTGCATTTGGGAAGGGGACATCCTGGAAATCCTTTTCCGTTGTTTCTCCCCCCATTTGCTAACTACCTCACCGGCCGCAGGCCCTGTCCGGTCGCCCTCCGCCCTCCCTCGTTTTCGAGGCCGCTCGTGTGGGTGGAGAGGAAGCCTCTTACTTCGAACACTTCACTGAAGCCAAGCAGAAGCTCTCGAATCTTCGGGTGCCCCGGGGTCGTCCCGCGGACCGGCGGGACGGGAGTGTCCGTCCGGTGGACGACGGCGCACGGCACGGTGAGGGCATAGGAGATGTGAGTACTTTTGGGGATGTGAAGATAAGCGACAACAGCGACAACTGATGAGTTGCAGGCTACCCAATATGATCTCCATGAAAACATCTATGACACTTAAAATCTTAAGAGACATGTTAAGACATTAGATGAAACTAGTTACACTACAATTTTCAACAATTGTCACATGTTTCCCAACATCAAAGAACTTTTGTAGGCGGGCACTTGGATCAAACATGTTTATTTTTGCTTGAGTTACTTGTCTTCATGACAGATCCAGGAATCTACCAGCAACTGACGTCAGTAGATGTTTACCTTCCAAGCACATCGTTCCGAGCTGTCCAGTGCGCGCCGGCCATTGCCCACCATTCCACTCATGGAAGTGGAACATGACCCCTGGGGGAAGACTACTCCCCCACAAACTAACATAGAATTATGTCGGGCACGCCAGCCATAGATACAAGGAGCCAAAATAGTTTTATAAAGCAAAAACAAAGCAAAAAGCAAGCAAAAGGCAAAGCAAACACAAAAGCAAAAAAATGTAGCTGTGTGTATTTGTTGTTGTCTTTTTTTCACTTGTTTTTTCGCTTTATTTTCACATGTTTTTTAGCTTTATTTTCGCTTTTTTTTTCGCTGTTTTTTTTTGTTTTTTTCGTTTTTTTCCTGGGAGGGTACAGCTGTTTTTTCGCGTTTTTGCTGTACCCTCCTAGGAAAAAAACCGAAAAACATGCGAACATAAAGCGAAAAAAACAGTGGAAAAAAAGCAGCAAATACGCACAGCTACATTTTTTTTGCCCATTATTGCGCTTTGTTTTTGCTTTGTTATTTGCTTTTGTTTTGCTTTGTTTTTGCTTCTTGCTTTGTTTTTGCTTTGTTTTTGCATTGTCATTTGCTTTTATTTTGCTTTTTTTTCCCGAACGCATTGCGAAGGGTTCTTCCGGAAAATCCCTTGAACACTGACACTTCGACACTTACACTTACACACTGACACTTCCACCACACTTGCACTACAACATGAACGCTATACGTACCCCAGTGTTACGTACCCCAGTGTAAGTGGAAGAGCGAAAGCATCCAAGTGCAAAGTATGCAAGTGTCAAAGTATGCACGTGTAATGATGCAAGTGCAATGATGAGTATGCAAGCATGCAATGACTATGCAAGCATGCAATGAGTAGGCAAGTGTGAGCATGGAGTGCAATGATGAGTATGCAAGCATGCAATGACTATGCAAGCATGCAATGAGTAGGCAAGTGTGAGCATGGAAAACTAGCACGGGAGATGTCCTAATGAAAAACATTTCCCCACTTTATAAATTCTCTCTTAAAGGCGGAGGGTGGGACGAACAGCGTCAACCGAAAGTGCAACCCTCTGCGGAGATCGTGCGTGTCGAGTGCGCGAAATGCAGGCGAGAGTGCGATTCGCCGGCTGCCCGCGCAACCCTCTGCGGAGATCGTGCGTGTCGAGTGCGCGAAATGCAGGCGAGAGTGCGATTTGCCGGCTGCGCGCGCAACCCTTTGCGGAGATCGTGCGTGTCGAGAGCGCGAAATGCAGGGGAGAGTGCGATTTGCCGGCTGCGCGCGCAACCCTCTGCGGAGATCGTGCGTGTCGAGTGCGCGAAATGCAGGCGAGA